ACTAATCACTGTTTGACAGTCTGTTATAATTTGTTTTCATGGAATGCTGTCAATGTGACCTATACAAGTTGTTTGCACATTTTAAAGTCAACATGAGGTAGCTACTACTTTACTGTCTCTTAATTGACTCAAAGATATGTCAACAAGTACATCACCAGTAGAAATAATCATGATATTTACCTCATGATTCAGAAACTTTTTTAATTCAAAGACTCTTGTAAAGCACTAATAAATTCTCAAATTTTATTAATTGAAGGTGAATTACATAATTATGAACTCAGACTCCAATTAGTTTTAGTAATAGTTTTCAATTTACATGTATGGTGTGTAAAACCTTTATTAATAGACCTAGCTTTGATTAGGATATAGTTTATGAGGTTATTGTGCTAATGGCAGCTTTAGACTTAATAACAAGAAATAAAATTCAATTTCCACTAACCAATATAAATACCTCCATATTATAATTGATGAAATCTACTTAGCCCTTACTAATTTTATTAAAGCCATTTATTTTATTATAGGTGCAACAGAGGTCATGCAAATAGCTGCCAAATTAACAAAATTATAATTATGTGTACTTTGAGGTTAATAATTAATTAATTATTGACGTGTGGTTTGATTTGTAATGCAAGTGCTACCACATTAGGATGTGAACTGTAGGTACAGGTACATCCCCAATCCTGCAGTTAGAGTATTCTTTTAATGCAATGAGTCTGCATGCCATAAACAATTAAAGCATAGCAGGAGCCTAAGGCATAATTGATATTGCCTATATACAGGTATATTGTTTAACTATACAATAGATTCTGAACTGAAAGACAACAACCTCTCTTTATAAATAATCATTTTATACAGTGACAGACTAACAGTATAAAGTGCTATAATCAGTTATACATTGATTCAAAATCCAATTGATTTTAAGTATTTCATTACAATGCTTTTATAATCTCCATGTAATACAATCTGTCCTGTTAATTCATCTGTACGTGTCATTAGGTCTCGGTTCCTAATAACTTCTCTTAGCTTTTTCTCCAATGCCTGTTCAATAATATTATGTAAAGTTTTTGCAAGTTTAAATTTCAGCCAAAATTTATGGGTACAATACACATGGCATCAATTACATTATAGCATGCTAAGGGAGCTAAACAGCATGCTTCATGAGCTGACCAAGCAATACAATACAGTACATGCAACTTTAAATATTCATAAAAAATCGAATTTTGATCGGAATTAGTTCAAACTTTCCACATAACATAAGAACATGTATATGCATCAGGAAAAATATTAAAATGAAGAGTTCTTACCTACCCATTTTTGATGAAATTTGGCCAATGACCCAAGGCTATAGCCTTTGGTCGTTGGCCAAATTTATGAAAAACTTTAAATATTCATAAAAAATCTAAATTTGATCAGAATCAGCTCAAACTTTCTACATAACATAAGAACATGTATATGTATCAGAAAAAATTATAAAAATCAAGAATTCTCTTTTAGCCATTTTTGACAAAATACCATGTAGATCTACTATTGCCCATGGTCTTTGGTCAAATTTTGAACCAAATTAAGAAGGCATGCAGACCTCCCCCTTATAGTATAGTCTCACAAGACACTCATAGCAGGCTGGACTGTATTAGTTACTAGTAAAATTAACCTTTAAAATGTAGTACCCAATAATACTATAATATGTAATGTGAGATATAAGACTGGACTAAGACTGAATAAGGTATTAAAAAAGGTGTGAACAAAATCCTCAATAATTATAATGTACATCATACCTTTGCATCTCCATCAATTTTTCTAACTATCGTCAACGTTCTTGTTCCACCACCTTTGTAATCAAGGTATACCGGTATATTATTAGTCTTGGTCCTTCTGACAAAGAATGCATCTAAAAATTATAGTAAAACAAAAAATTTTAGTGTCTGCTAATAAATAGTCTCACGTGATGGAGTATTTGTCAAATTTCTATTGAGTGGTACAAAAGTCTAAAAGTTAATGGTAAGTAACAGTGTGATTAAGAAGAGTTTTACTTGCATCCTGAATGAATTGTGAGCACTAAAACGGATGCTAGCATGATACAACCTAGACGCCATTTTTAATGTTGCCACGTGAAGTCACGCCTCTAGAGCAAGTTGAGCAACGCCCTCAACCATTTTTTAATTTTAAAAATTAACTTCTACAAAAAATTGTCATTTAGCTGTTCACAACTTCACAGGTAGCTAATCCTTCAGTTCTGTCTCCCTTCATGGGCTTCTTATAATCTGTACCACTGCAGATGTTTTCCAAAGCACAGTCTAAGGAAAAAGTAAAATAGTGCTTAGTCTAGTAGTATACTTTTCAATTGACCTGGTATCATGAGCTTTCCTGAGATTAACATTCTATTACTGTTGTTTATTGCTTGGGCTGGTTCTGTAGTGTATGACGTGCATTCTTTGTTGAACAGATTATCCTTTAATAGTACATATTGTGCTCTGTGATTGTCCATCATTTATCCTGCAGTAAACAAGATTGGTATACAAGGTCACAGGCCATATATAAATGCATAAATTGAATTGACATGGATGAGTGAACACGAAGTATAGTTATTGAAGCATGAAAATTTATTAATCAGCATTTTTGAATGAAAAGATCTCTTTTCTTTTCCTCCCATAACATACTAACTATATTAACCTTTACTCCCACCCTGGACCTTCCACACATGCATTTGCAATAATGAGGTGTGGCAAGTCGGGCAAGCCAATAAATTTATTTTTCAACGGATCAAAGAACAATAGTTGATAATAAGTTAATAACTAAGGAACGATTAACGGTAGGCTGAGGACCAGGCCAATCTAGCATTATTTAGGGAAGCTGGGTCCCACAGCTTACCCAAGGAAAAAACCACCACTTTATTTTATTTTCATAGTGGTGGAAAAACCGAGGCCACAACCACCATTGGACAACACAAAAAACACCTACATACACACAAGCAAATAATGGTAATAATAATAATAATAATAACATTAACACAGAATACACTACAATCAAAATGCTTTAATGGTAACAGTTAGTAACAAAATACGCTAGAGTTAGTGCCAGAGTCAGACAGATATGCTTCATCACCATCCACCTAAAAATCAGCTATGGAGAATGTCAAGGAAAAAAAATTGTTAGGGGGGGGGAGGGGATGATAATCTGCGTACACTAGTCTGCTTGCACAATGTATGCCGTAGACTGTATCTTGACCAATGTCAAGGGTGTATATATAATGAATTGAATGATCCCACAAGCCCCACCCATAGGTGGTGCAGTCTAACAGTAATGAAATTTATATGGGAGCTTATTTTCTGCCTAATTCATTACATTCAACTGTCAGAAAATACACATTCTATCACATCATCACAATCATAATTAATGATTATTATAATGATAATATAGACAATTATAAAGTGTACTTTTACAAACTGTAGAATGCGTGGGCACACACGATGCACTACAAGCGTCTTGTCTCCTATATCATGAATGTATTTATTGAGCATTCTTCATCGCTTGATGGTCGTCTTACCTGTTAGTGTTACTATGATGTTTTTATACACTTTTACTCTGGTCGAGCTACTTCTCTCTCGTTGCCGGCTTGAAATGGGCGGTGTATCCCTAACATGTCTCCACCCAGTGTTTTGTGAGCATGCTCGAACCTCTAATTGAATAGTAAATTAATATTAATAAGGTACTTTGCAATCCACCTTCATCATAGTTGTAAATTTATATGTAGCTATAGGTCTACTCTACATTATTATTATTATTATTATTATTAAAGAACTTTACAGTACTAACATAGAGAGAGAAGAAAAGAAAAACATTAAATTGAGGGCAGCAGGAGTTTGGAGTACTGAGGGTACATCAGTAATTAATACTGAGTACCAGAAATAAAAATTAAAACAATAATTTACACTATAACACTATATACATTATACATGGCAGATAATAATGTACTTTTCATTTGTGGTTGGAGTATTGCAAATCAAAAATTATAGTAGGTTTTATTGTATCCATCTAAATCAATATAGGAGGGGCTGATTTGCAATGACACGTGTTTACCATTTTCTTAACTTTGTCTTTAGACCGAGCTTTAGACCTATTTTAAAGAAGACCTATCTTCAGAGAGGGCTCATGGCTGGAGCTAAGCCACCAAATATTCTGGTTCTCTCTGCCCCGGGAGAGAGTGGTGACGCTTCTTTTCAAAGAATGAAAACTGATATTCTTCTAATCCTCGGGCAAGACAGGTACACTGTGTATCCTCTCACCCAGACTGACGTTTTGAAGCAGCCTTGGCAAGAGAACTGTCTTTTACTAGTCGTGCCGCCTCATATACCTCTCTCTAGCGAGACCAGACAGTCTGTACTCTCATATATATCCAGCAGAGCCTGTGGTGGGAAATGTATCTCCTTTAATCATCAGTTAATGCCTAGTGTGACTGAAACTAGCTCTGTTTATACTGATGATAGTGTAATTGAGGTAGTTCCATGCAATACCTCGAGTAAACGATTCCACACAATTAGCATTGATAGAAGTGATGAGGAAGTGTCATTGGATGTCTCTGGTTTAACTATATCTGGGACTAATGGAGCTCCAACTGTCAATGGATCCAGTCATAGTAGTCCCCAAAAAGAGAGCGATGAGGTCATTGTTACTGATATAGCTACAGCATTTATTGGTGACATCAATAGACCATGCATACAACAGTTGACATGGAGCAAAGACAATGGTGGAGGACAGCTCATCTATTCGTCCGTTCACTTATTCAACCCTTTATCGTACACTAGTGGACTACCTGGAGTCATCAAAATAAAGGAAACTGGTCAAGAGAGACAAGACTTCTTGAAAGCAGCTGTATTTAGTGGTCTAGGACTAAAGGTAGATACTGGAGCAAAGGGAGTAGATGAGGAATTGAGTCCTCTTTATCTTATAACTAAGAATGAAGAGGTTAGGCTATCCTATTATGTTAATTACAATTTTAAGATTTTTAATATTATTTTATTTAGGTTCGAAGCAGTGTACTGTCTCGATTGACGTCACATAAAGCTGAGAAGGAGAAGGAAGGAGATGGATGGTTTATGATGAATGGCACAGAGTCTAGCTGTCTCTTTGTCACTGATGATTTCTCCGTTGGCACACCTGTCGATCCCTTGCCTCCCACTAATGAAAAACAAGTAAGCTAGACCTTAAATTTATTGTACACAAGCAAATGCTAACTAATTGATTGAACATAGTGATAGTAATAAGAATAGTGTGAGTGAGTACTAGAATATTTATGGAGTAACTTTTACAATAATTTTTAATTCAGTATAATAATTCTGTACTTCAGGTTACTGTATTACTGAGTCCTTCTAAGCAGCAGTTAGAGAGCCTTGAGTTTGACTCCAGTCTTTATTTTAAGAGCTTAAAAACTGATTGTATGGGTCAGTCCCTGCTATTGGGACCAATAATGACCTCGTCTCAAACCCTCTTTACTGGGAACACTCCTCTCACTAGACTTTTTACTAACGAGCTGGGTGTGGTTTGCTCACCTGGACAACAAACTAGAGGGAAAGGTATGTAAATGTACATGTACGTCACTCTTAAGTATTGTTAGATTTTAATGATACGAGCATTAGTTAACTATTAGAATGCATTCAATTTTTATTTTATTGTACAGCATTTTGATATTAATATAATAGTGCTCACAATCCATATTATAGCCATTCTCTTGTCTGAAATTGCCAGTAATACTTTATTAAATTCTCTTGACTGATAGGTAGAGGTGGTAATGTTTGGTTGTCTCCTAAAGGTTGCATGATGTTTAGTGTTCCTCTTCACTTCCCGATTGACTCCAGACTAGGAAGGACTGCCAGTATTGTCCAACACATTGCTACGTTGTCTGTAGTTACTGCTGTGAGACGACAGTCAGGATATGAGGTATGTGACTGACATATCGTAGGTCGGGATATATTCGCGGCTGCAATTATTTGCGGTCATAAAAAAATTTCAATTAAAAACCATGGAAACCAAGGTGTTATTTTAATTGAAAACGGCGCGATAGTGAAGAAAAGCACCTTGCTGCAGTGTTCTTGAGCTGTTGTTCTTCTTGTGTCACTAAGCCTTGGGCTCTTTGGAGCTGCTTTACCGGTTCTCTTCAGAACTAGTGCCTTGCCATATTTTGGGACTCTCCACCCATTCTAGTTAATGTTTATTGACGGGTGTGGTTTATTATCACCACCACGCGGACCAGTAACAATTTGCAGCAAAGAGACTGAAAGACCTCTGAGGTAGTGGTCCATACAAGAAGTTAACAGATAGAGAAGGACTCGCTATTGGTGAATAGCTCCTCTATAGCTGCTAAAGAACAGATGAATAGCTGAACACTAAACACGTGGTCTTAATTGTCATAGCAACGCTCTAACAGTTTCCATGGTTTTTAATTGAATTTTTTATAACTGCGAATAATTACAGCCGCGAATATATCCCGACCTACGGTATACATGTAGGTTTGCCTTGTAGAATGTTTTAGCTGTTTCTTAATTATATACATGTTCTTATGAAAGTTTAAGCTATTCCAATCAAAATTGGACTTTTAAAACATGCTTAAAAACCAGCCAAAGTCCCTGTGATGTAGTACAGATCTGAATCTTGAGCCAAATTTTGCCAAAATTGGCTAAGTGAGAATTCTCAATTTTTATAATTTTTTCTGATGCATATGCATGTACTTATGTTGCATTGAGAGTTTGAGCTGATTCCAATCAAAATTGGATTTTTTATGAATTTTTTTAATTTGCTCCAAAATCAGGCCAAAGTCCCTGTACTATAGTACAGGGTTCTTGGTCAAATTTCGCCAAAAATGAAAAGGAGAGAATTCTTCATTTTTATAATTTTTTCTAATCCATATACATGTACTTATGTTGCGTAGAAAGTTTGAGCTGGTTCTCATCAAAATTAGATTTTTTATGAATTTTTAAATTTGCTAAAAAATTGAACTACTATACATGTGTAGTACATTTTATAATAATAACACGAGTAATAGTAATAATAGTAATAGCCCTTATAATCAATCCCATGTCTACAACACATCAGACAAAATTTATTTATTATTTTCTTCCATTTAGGATGTTCCTATACAGGTCAAGTGGCCTAATGATATCTATTATAATGGTAAAGTCAAGCTAGGAGGATGCCTTGCCACAGCTTATACAACTGAAGACGCAACAACCATCATCATTGGTACACATTGATACAAGAGTACTATGTGTCCTTATCCTTCCTATATTGACATCATGTAGGCTTGGGAGTTAATGTGAGTAATCATTACCCGACTCTGTCCATCAATGACTGTATCTCATTGTACAATACTGAGACTCATAAAGACTTGCCGTCACTGAGACTGGAGTCACTACTAGGGCTGACTCTCAACAATCTTGAGATGTACCTATCACTGTACAATCAATGGGGACTGACTGCTATTGAAGGACTCTACTACCAATACTGGATGCATCAGTAAGATAAATCTAATGAACTGTTTCTCTACCATTTTGTTACTGTACCATACAAGATGATTTATTGGCGAGAGTAATATTTGGCAAAGTTGCCTGTGGAAAGTTATTTGGCAAATTTTTAATTGGTAATTTTGCGCCACATATCATTGAGCATGCTCAGATTGAAACAAAATGGCAGTTTTATTGGTGATTTCTTTATAGAACCACTTATCACCATTACTAACTCCTCATCAATAAATCATCTTGTACTGTCTGTTCTTTTACCATTTTGTTACATATAAATGAACATTATTTATTAACATACCAGTAGTAGTAGTACATCTTTACTTATGCATTGTATTCATATAGTAATGCTACAGTCGAGTTGTCAGGGTACCCAGGGGTGGAGTCAGCTATTATTACTGGGATCAATGAGCATGGATACTTGCGTGTTAAGACAAGAAGCAATGAATATCTCTCGCTAGGACCCGACGGGAACACTTTTGACATTATGAAAGGTTTAATAACAATGAAATAATAATAATGATATTATTAATATTTTATGTATTATTAATATTTTATGTATAATAATGTGTGTGTTATTATTAATAACGATTGATGATTAAAAACAAAATTAATATTTACAGCAAAACTTGTACATTAGCAATTACAATAGATGTACAAAGGACAGACTAAAAAGTATATATTAGTTAATTAGGGGTGGAGCCTGTTGCTATGGGTAACTGATAGTAGATGGATCCATTCTAGTATAGTCCAGTTCATTGCTGATGTATGAGTTGAGAGTTTCTTTCTTGTCTTTACCATATGCTGCTACCACCAGCTTCTTAGCCCTACCACTGTCCAATATGTAGTCTTTGTAAAACTGGATCAACTCGTTTGGTTGTATGTACTGGAGCGCAGTCTCCAGTTGCTGCTTGTAGTTGAACTGGTTCAAACCGGTGTCAATTTGATTCCATAGTCTTGCTGTGACGTCAGAGAGACTCAAGTCCTTGCGTCTCAATACCTCATGGTATATTTGAACGAGACTTTCAAAGTTTGATGTAGACGAAGTAAGAAACTCTGTCACATTCTGTAGCGAGTCTTTCAAGAACTGATCGATCCTTTCCAGTAACAGAGATGCATTGTAGGTACCACTTTGTACTAGGATTTGGAATGAGAGTACGTTGTTGTTGGTTCTGAGAGTGCAGTATGCAACATACCCTAACTGCTGTTTGGTACGTAACACATCAAAGCAAGATTGCTACAAAAGACAATAGACAGTAATTGATATGCTTAAGTATATATCTCTCTCTTTCCCTCCGCCCCCCTCTCTCTCTTCTCTCTCCTTACTTGTATTTGCAGTGTTAGCAGTGATACTATTGCTGTTCTCTTTAGAGACGAGTTAGTGCACACATGGAGTCCATTATTGAGTGTGGTCACATTGCAACCAACGCCAATCTACAAAAACCCAGAAACACATTATTACTCTCTACATTACTAACAAGATAAAAAAACTCTAAAATAAATGTCACAGTAGTTTATGTAGCTCTCAAATCCTCACCTGAAACACTACGTTGATGACACTGTTATGATCCATTGGGTTCAATGCTGGTACTATTACACTGTAGTTACCAGGAGAAAGGAGTATGCGTCTTCGTGGGGCCAAAGTGCCTGTAGGATCAATCATTGTAGATGAGCTCAAGACAGTAAAGAAAGAGTGTCCATATCTTATTGCCTATAGTAATAAATTATGATTATTAATTATAAATATTAATCAATTGATATAATGTGCTTTTAATGACAATAGGAAACAATGTCTTGTAAAAATTTTTACAAGCTTGTTCACACCCTCAAGGTGTAAACAAGGTGTCAAAAAGGTGTCAAAAAATTTTGTCACTCAATTTATTGGAAGGAGCTCTTTAAAATGCATTAGCTGATATACAGTACTACATGGTTGTTGTCAATACAGTGTATGTGGCCCATTACCTGAGTCTTATCAACGTTTCCATGGACTAGACAGAGGAGAGTGGCAGACTCAAGGAGTGATGCTTTGTGACTGAGTACTTCACTGACATTAAAGTCCTGCAGTGCATTCAATAACTGCCACTTCTTCCACATTGGACGATCCATCACAACACTTGAGACAAAAATGAAAAGAAAATGACACTCAAATTTTTGAAACATTTTTGACACCCAAATCAAATTCACATGTGCTTCCCTTACCTTTGTATGTATTGGTATATGTAATGATAGGGTAGGGCAGTGAAATTATAATTGGAAAGTGCATCTGTCATTGACTCAAGAGTGAGAGAAAAGATCTCAGGATTTGATAACAAAGTATCATTAGTCATAGCTAAAAGAGAGAGAGAGGGAGGGAGAGTAAAAATGTGACATATATTTTTTAGATGTACCATTGACAACTAGTTCAATGATTTTATTCATGACAGTGCTGTCACTGTATCCATTGATAGCAATATTGAGTCCATGAGGTACAGCCTTTACTGAGACACTGTAATCAAGAAGTGTGGCTGGATAAACCAATGGATTTAATGAGGCCAGTACAATATTTGCATAGAGTTCAGTTAGTGCTGTAAATAGAGACAAGGATAATAAGTAAATGATATACATTGTATTAGACATACATAGTTAACTGACTGCTACAATAAATAATACACTTTTATTATCATTGGCCTCACCCAGCTTTACATAGCAGTCCACCTCCACTTCCCCAACAGCTTTAGGGGCGAGGCCATGCACCTTTGGTGTCTTGTTATTATATTATTATCATTACTATTGTCATTATTGAGTTTTTTTGTTGCATTATTATGTACCTGTCCATCTAGGATCATTGATTGCTTTCTTACTAATGGGACTGTATATGTTACACACTAGATTGAGCTTTGGCTGTAGGAACTGCTTATCCTGCTGCCACCAAACACTGTACCCATCATCAACTGGAGAGAGAGAGAGAGAGAGAGAGAGAGAGAGAGAGAGAGAGAGAGAGAGAGAGAGAGAGAGAGAGAGAGAGAGAGAGAGAGAGAGAGAGAGAGAGAGAGAGAGAGAGAGAGAGAGAGAGAGAGAGAGAGAGAGAGAGAGAGAGAGAGAGCATGTTAATATTAAGTTAATAACAGTAGCATATCTCCAGGTATTGAATACATAAAAACTGATGTCTAGTACACCATAAAAACAACGATGCAAGTAAATCACGTAGTCTATTCAATAAACACTTCATCAAAGATAAATTAAAAGGATACTAGAACTAAGATCGATAATCACTACATGACAGATAGACAAGACATACTGTACCACTACAAAATTCTAGCTCTCCTATTGCAAGTTACCATGACAATGTCATTTATCTATCAATCATCATGAATTAATAATACAAAAATATTAGATTGTCGACTTTTCTCTTATAATCTAGACTATTTTATTGCTATTATTATAATAATTATTGCTACCTGGATCAGCCTTCATTGGTTGATTAGTCGCAGTTGAAGTCTCAAGGATGACAAAATCTCTCGGTATGAACTCATTTTGTTTTGGTAAACTCAATTCTTGTAATACAACAGAATACTGTAACCAATCGGACACTAACTGGGATGATACAGGCTCTACCTGCAAGTATAAAAATAAATTTAATAAATACAATTTTAGCATTAAAAGTATTAAATTATTACATCATATTACATCACATTACATCATATTTTGTCCCGTAAATTGGTTCAGTGGACGAGAGAGACCCAGGGAGTGGTAAGTTAACAGTGGACGTCTGTGGGTTGCTAAGATTGTGTGAGCCAACGAATATGATTGGAGTAGAAGGAGAGAGTGACGAGACGACAGCAGATATGAGGGTATGGTTAAAGATATAACGTTGAGGGGAACCAAGAAAATCCCGAGGGCTTTTCACAGTACGCATAGTACTAGCAAGATTGCTACAGAAAGATAAATGCATATGTACAATGTACTGCAAATCCTTAATTAGAAGTAGTATAGGCTTCTATTTCCTATCTTTAATTTGTACATGGGATTTTATTTGAGGGTACTTTATACATGTATGTAGCTTATATTTCCTTAATGTGGAGACTTTTATTGTGGCTGCAAGTTTGTAATTACATGCATAAATTTTTCTCCTTCTCATAAAACCCTCTCTCTTTCCTCTCTCTCTCTCTCTCCTTACCTTGTATACTTATCAGGAGAAATTTTTGATGAGAAATTAAAGTTAACAATCGCCACATCGACATAATCGTTCCATTGCTGCCTCCATTGTTGTTCAGTGAGTCCTTGAAGGAGTTTAATGTATTGCATTACAGTACCAATCACTTCCTTAGAGTGAGCCAGCCCAGACTGTGTCAGTGTAATGTATATGCCCAATACAGTGTATGAATCTGCTGAAAACTCTGTACCTACAAATTATATGTGATTATTCATTATAATGTCAACACAAATAAATTTCATGCCAGCCCATATAACCTTTACTTTCCAAGAATATTACTACACAATTAGATGTAAGTGTAAGATTATGTGTAAGTTTGTGGTTCCATTACTTCCATTATATGATACATTAGTGTACTATGCTGTGGGTTACTTACCAGCTGAAATGGATATTGCCCACTGCTGCTTCTTCAAATAGTGCAGAGGAGATCCTGTGCCTTCATGGCCAAGCAACTGAGAGAGTATGCTAGCAATCTGACCAGAAAATAAAAGGAGAGAAAGAATTATAAAATCAATATCCAATTGACTGCATTTTGACGTGACTGATACCGAATGTACCTCAACATGGTGCACAAGAATGATGTGTAGACGTACAACACAATTATCTTTATCTAATTAGACAACAAAGCCCATTTCATGACGTGTGCATGTAGATGATGATGACTTCAAGGAAAGTTAGCCTAGCCTAGCCATCATCGCCATGTACTCGGGCAGTTGCTACCAGGTTAGACTAGTTGCAACCATGACAACTGTTTACATCAAGATCATCTTCAATATGTACATGTATTATCTATAATTTCATTTACTCTCCTAATACTATTATATTTGCATTTCTCTTTCCATTCACTTTAAACTTTTATTTTCATTCCCTCTCTCTCCCCCTCTCTCTCTACCTTTTCTCTGTACTTTTCTTTCAGTGGCATCACTTGCCAGTACATTGTAATCATATGTACATCAGCCACTGGAACATAGTATACAATCTTTCCATTGAAAGGAGGAGAAAATGAAGTGTTCAGATAGCGAACCCTTGATGCATTGTTGTTACGTATTGAAGAGAACATTGAGACAGTGTATTGAGAGAGAGTTACCAAGTCTTCCTTTCCATATATAACAAGTTGCATCTATAACAACAAGGAGACACAAAAAATAGAATTATCATTATTATTCTAGCTGATGTACAATAACTATGTGTGTGGTGGACTATCTTTAAAACATAAGCAAGCAGTACAAAACACAAACACTGGACACTCACTAATAACAAGGCAGTATATACTACATGTATATATACTATACATTTTATAATACAACTAATTGAGTTCAAACCTACACCCACTTGCTTAATTGCACTTACTTGATTAGCTGAATAATATTTATAATAAAAGTCTTTTAGGGCAGAGAGCACGTCAGGTTTATCCAGTGTCTCTAAGTCTCCCGTGTTAAACTGGTGGAAGGGGTGGTACGGATTCGAGATGTGTTTCAACAGCTGCCAGAGACGCCAGCCGTCATCCTGAAGGTTCTTTCGATGCTCGGAATCAACTGCATTCACTTCCCGACTGACACCACTCTGGGAGAGGATCGGAGAAATGAAAAACTGAGCAAACCGATCAAGAGCCTCGTGAAGATACTCAGAACCAACTCTGAAAAAGTAGTTAGTGTTTTCGGTGGAAGTGTAGGCATTATCGTAGCCGCCATGACGACTCAAGTAATCAGAATAGGCTCCTTCCTGTGGGTACTTGTCGCTGGCATAAAACAGCATGTGCTCACAAAAATGTGCGAGGCCTAAGTGAGAGGGAGGGTCGCTGAAACTGCCAACGGCGACATCCATGGCCGCAGCACTTAACTGGGTCTCGTTGTCCGATACGAGAAGAACCCTGAGTCCATTATCAAGTGTGAAGTACCCATAGTCCCTGGAGTCGTGGGGGGACTTTGTTACAGGGAGTACAGTTGGGAGGGGTGTTGCTGTAGGTTGGGGGGTGGTTGCTCCTGTTGGTTTCTCCTGTATCAAAGCAAAAGGGAGTGTGACAGCTAGCAGTAGTATTACTAGGACTATCATTGTGACTAAGCCCAGGAATAGCCAGTGCTTCCACGTACAGAACTCTGATCCTAGTCTACCCTTTGATGCTTTGATCTTAACTGCGTCTGGAGTGAAAGGACTTTCGTCTTCAGAGTCTTCTTCGTCTGACTGGTGGTCTTTCCCCTCTTCAAATGCCTCGAGGAGAGGAATTCCTTGCTTATAGGCCATAGCTTGAGGGGAAGGGAAAACAGGACCAGCAGACACACAAAGACAAGAGAAGAAAAATAAATAAAGGAGGAAAGGGAGTGGATGATTAGATCAGTGTAGATTATTGTGAGGGCGTGGTGTCTGGTGCATCGATTCAATTATTCATGAATTCATGCATACATGCAGTGAGACTTTGCTATGCACTGCCAAAGTTCAATAGCTCTAATACAATTGAATAGACTACATTCAGTCATTGTATCTTTAATTGAATTTTTATGTTAGCACACACCATACACTTCTACTGCAGTAAGTGGTGGATCAGAAAGAAGAATAACTACTTCTCTACTGAGTTGCATGCTTTCCGAATCCTTTTGGTGAGTTGCTCATATAGAATATAGTCAAGCCCAATGTCTGCTCCTGGTCCTTACTATGGTACACACACTCAACCAATCTACCAGGCTCCTCCACCACCTCCTCCTCCCCAGTTTGTTTATAATCCATACGACCAGCCATTAACAGGACAGCCTCAACCTCAGTACTACAGTCAGCCGCATCAGTATCACGGTCAGCCTCCCCCACCACCCCCTGATCAGTACTATCCTGTTGGAGCTCTGCCACAGAACACTGGATACCAATCACAACCACAACTACAGCAACAAAGAAACACTGCTAATGTAAGAAATAGACTAAATGAGCATTGGAATCAGTACTAATTTATTCATTTGTATAGTGTTGTGACTCTGTTACTCAGGGCCTGATGTGCTGTTGTGCTGGAATGCTTTGCTACATGTGTCTGTGTGATGCAATGGATTCTGGTATGTGCATGGAAGGAGCAGGAATGGATAGTTTTGTTGGTGACGACTGATATTAATATACTAGTGTTTTATTTTATTATTTATAATAATAAACAAGCTTTTGGTTGGCAGACAGTGTGTCGCTTGTATTTTTAAAAACTGTTTCTCTCAATTTAAAGTCATTTAAAATCATATAAATTTAAGAAGATATATTCTTAAGCCATTCTCCAACAAAAGGTAAGAGCATCCAAAGATCAGTGGCTATTTCAACTACGCTAGTTGTATCATCAGGAGAACACTTCAACAGAATGTGATAGTGAGGTGGTAAGAACAATAATACTTCATAGGAACCTATTTGGTATCGTAAAGGTGATTCGAAATAATTAGTCGTTTAATACGACATGTGCTGTTATTGTGAATTGGTGATAGATACTTACCTTCATCTTTTAGAGGTTGCAGATAAGGGCAGTAAGGGGTAAGTTTGTTCACCAATGAATCATGAAGTTTCTGATATGATAGTTCTAATCTCATGACAGAGAGTGCACCTTCATTAGTAGGACAGCTCCTATAAATGCATAGAATGCATCTATTTTATGAATAATAGTAACCAATACCTGGAGTGTTCTTCATTTTTAATTTTTGCCCATAAAAAATTGAAAAGTCCCTTAGCAGAAGCCTAAATTTAAATGAATACACACATACTGTAATTACAACTAGTGCCTTTACCTTGGCATTATCTAATGGAGGAGAATGGAATAACTCGTGAAAGTAAATTTGAATGGGCTCAAGTGGACATGTACAAGTGTCACCATCATCATTTGTAAAGATTCCTCTACATTATGAGTATTGTCATTATAGTAACTGTACACTTAATATCATTCATGTATACTTGATTTCAAAGCTAGCAGGGAATGGCTTGACTGCCTTTATATTTACAATAATTGACACTGTGTTAATAAAAACAATAATAAAGATCTTTATTTGTGCACCAGAGTATTATTATACCTTCTTCTCCCATTGATATAGAGGGTATTCGAATATCTAAATAAAATGAATACAAGTATGATAAATACAAAGGGTCTTATATATACCTGGTGGTTTAATGTATGATGATGAACTGGAGAACTGTAAGACCACAGCATACACTTTATCAGATACCCAATCAGGTTTGCCCTTCGACTATACAAGTAATGCAAGTGGTATAGCTCAGAGTGAGACATTAAGAAAGTGTATTACTTACCAGAGATATGATGCAAGGTATATGCAATACAAACATATTGGGCTGCTCACTAATCCACTGACAATAATCATCAACTAATATCACAACATTATAAATAATCAAAATATCACAGTGAGGCCTACCATCAATACAACTATTGGTCCATTTATTATGGCGATATTCAGCCCTTAAATAAAAAAAACATGACAAGCAATAATTATGTATTATTTTTAAAAATTACCTTTCTAAGATAAAGACTGATGTGCTGATTGTCTTTACAGAAGATGATATTGGATACACATTATTAGAAATACCAGCTATGGTGTAAAGATGTGTGTGTGTGTTAGTGAGAAGTGAATTAATTTCACGTACCATCAACTGCCTGTGATAGATCAGAACTGATCTCTGACTCAGACAATAAAGCTGACAACTAAAAAAATAATTGTATAATTGATCCTCTCTCCCTTTAATATAGGTCATACCTTTTCATTTGATACTGTCAATAAAATCTGGAGATAAATTCTTGCTCTGTCACGAATATCTAAATAAAATGACCCAGTAACTGACAAGAGTGTCTCAATTATACCAATATCCATGAAACTCTTGGACATAGTGAGCAAAAGATTAGCCAGATCTGTTTCAAAGTCAAAAAAAAGCAACAATTAATCTTAAACAAAAGTAAGTATTTTAGAAAAGTTTTGGCACTTCAAAAATCTGTAAAAATTCTACATGACATAAGAGCATGTATATCTATCAGAAAAAATATAAAAATTGAGAATTCTCATCTAGTCATTTTTGGAAAAATTTAGCTGTACAGAGTCTTTGATCCAATTTTTGAGCAACTTTTAAAATTCATAAAAAATTCAAATTTGATCGGAACCAACTCAAACTTTCTACGCAACATAAATACATGAATATACATCAGGGAAAAATATAAAAATGGAAAATTCTCACTCAGCCATTTTTGGCAAAATTTGGCCTGAGACCCTGTACAGGCTGTACTATAGTACAGGGACTTTGTCCCGATTTTTGAGCAAATTAAAAAATTCATAAAAATCTAAATGTGATCAGAACCAATCCAAACTTTCTACACAACATAAATACATGTATATGCATCAGGGAAAAATATAAAAATGAAAAATTCTCACACAGCCATTTTTGGCAAAATTTGGCCTGAGACCCTGTACTATAGTACAGGGACTTTGTACCGATTTTTGAGCAAATTAAAAAATTCATAAAAAATTCAAATTTGATCGGAACCAGCTCAAACTTTCTACACAACACAAGTACATGTATCAAAAGCTAACCTTTGGCTGCTGTTCCATCAGAAGGTAATACTTTCATTAGAGTACAAAGGGCTAGCAGTATAGCATTACCAATGTCCCAGTCACCTTCCTGACACACTGAGCTATCCATTATAACCTTCTTCAATATTTGGAGTGGAATCTATAATAAAAAACGAAGAAATTCACATTAAGCATATTATTATAAAGAACTCTCACCTGAGGCCAAACTTGTTTAGATTTGGCTGCAGCAGTACAAAGGCAGAGATGATACTCAAGTTTGAGACACAGTTCACTGATCTCTAGTGTCTGCAGCCATTGGCATACTTCAGATAATATGCTGCCTGACATTGTCCTACAAAGCAATGCTTATATATATGTGGGACTTTCACTGACTCATTTTCCATTCTCTTGCTAACTAGTGCCATCAAATCCAGTGACTGTGGAGTGAATTCTGCATGAGCTACCAAAATGTTAGCAGCAACTCTATCAGAGAGAACAAGACAAAAATCCTATCTTAATCTTGTACAAAATTTAAGAATGTGTACAATTAGATACAGCTAGTTAACATTAACTTGTAGTTCACAATTCAAATACTAAACAAAAATCAAGCTACATTAATTCACACACCTTTCAATGTATTTTTTCATGTCGTCATCAAAAGTTTCAAAGAACAGCAGCATTATCCTATACAACAGTCGACATGGAGACCCAGATATGCCACACAATAAAGGTTTCTGCAATGCTCCGAGTACACTTTTAAAACCAGTTATAATATCATCATTACCTAATACACAGTACAGTTATAATGTCACTCATGGATACAGACACATGCAGATGTATCTATAATTATTACTTGAGTCTTGATATATGCCAGAGAGTGTTAATAGTTTGAACCACAATATCTCTGCAAGTAATAATAATATTATTTTTAGTGACAATAAACATACCATCAGCATCAAACACGACTGGTTGAAGCGGCTCAAGCATGTGAGAATCAACTTCACTCAGAAACTGCTGTTTCCTCCATAATAGGATAATGAAGATAGGAAGAAAGGCTTACTTTTGGCTCATCATTCTCTAGTTGCAATAGCCACTGAATAGCTATGGCACACTGATGTGAAGGCAAGCAAGGATGGCCACTCATTATTATCAACCTATAAACACAATTAATAAATGATGAGAACTAAAAATAAATCTTGTATACACAACATGAATCAAATACCGGTAGTTGCATTGCTTACCTTCTTAATATAACTAGCTCATCCTTTTCATCACAAATCCCTTCAGTGAACAAGACCTGCACACAAACAATGTAACAATAATGCACCCATTGCTACTTACTTTCATTAGTAGCATCATATTCCATAATTGAATATCATAGCAACAAGAGTATCGAAGCAATAGACTCTTCAACATCTACAAAAAACAAATCTTGCATTAAGATAATAATGTATGTCTTACCACTGGTGACAAGGTGCTGCATAATATAATCCTCATAACCTAATACAGGGAGAGATGAGACTGGAAATTATAACACTAGGAAGTTACTTTCAAGATAATTTGAACCATAAAGTGTGTAGTGAACAAGTGGCAGTGATCAACAAGGAAGGAGATAGCTTTCATGAGCTCTGACTGATCGGTACTGTCAGGTACTTTAATGGCATCATTAAGAGGCTTGAGAGAGAGAGAGAGAGGGAAAATAATAGCAAGGAAATGAGAACAGAACAAATATACAGCATGATATTAATTGTAATTAAGAAATACCATTTTTGCTATATGTTTTGATAGTTTCCAGTATTTCGGAGGAGGTTCAAATACCTACACCCATATTTAATGAAAGTGCTACATAAAGGCAGTTACACAACATTAGTATACTTGAGGTCTCCGTCCATCGTGAAACAATACATCACGCAAAGAACTGCTTACTGTCCCTTCATCATCGGGAAAATTACTGCCAAAAATAACATCAATGTTACACACACTCGTTGCATTTAAAAAAATACCTTTCAGTATTAGGCAAGATAGCAACTTTTTGCACATTATGACAAAGAGCAGTAGCAAAGAGACCCTGTACGATATTTCTAGTAAGTACATGGCATTAATTGCAGGCCATACCATGTAGTGCTGATGAATAAAGGAATTCTCAGCTTGACACATGCCAAAGAGATGACCCACAATATCACACAATAGCCCCTGTATATAAGATATACATATAAGAGTTGATGTATTGCATGTCTCACTGGTATTGAGAGCTCTATCTCCTTTAGACAATCACAAGCTGTTGACCTCAGCAGGCGATTTGTCTCAGTTTTAAGCTAATTTAGAAGCACATGATTTAAGGAAGGTAATAATTAAATCATGTATCTACTTTCTCGATGATTTCTAAAAGCATTGATACAAATTCTATAAGATAAGGTTGCACACTCTCCTACGAGATAATAAATAATATGATATTTTATTATCAATTGATATATGCTTACTAGAAATTGAGTTTGCAGTAATAAATCGGTAATAGTAACAAGTACCTATAGCAATACTGATAAACTAATAGTGTGTGTCATTGATTATTCACTTGTGACATATAAATTGGTTCTGCAGTGTTTCTCTGCTCTTTAACGATGTTCTTTAATGTGCCCAATACCAGCTCAAGCCTATCAGTATTCATAATAATTATAGACCACTGGAAGTGAAAATTGTTTGCGTAATTTTGCGTAGGAAGATTATTAGAAATTTTTACGGTTGTAAGGCGTGGTTTAGGATGAAATAAATTCCGGTCGCCATTTTGGTTGGCAACTTTCAACGGAGAACAAACGGGCCGACATAAAAACAAACCTGTATTAAGAATTCTGCAGCAAATTTGACCAAATCCTTTACAGGAGACGTTTAAAGGCAGCTGTTCTTTCTTATAACAAGCACTTTTTAGCTATTGATAGAACTAAAGCAGGTAAGTTAGGCATTTTCTTCATGCCTCCATTGACTTCCTTATCAAACTTGCCAACCAAAATGGCAGCCAATTATGAAGTGTGGGCAGATACCGTATCACGTCCATATGTAAAATTAACAAAATTCATATCTTTTCTAATTCTCACTTCCAGTGGTCTATACATCGCATGTGTGTGTGGTCGTTACCTGTTTATATCATCTAATAAAAATGAGCCATGCTCTTGTAAAATGCCCAATACATTCAGCTTTAATGTAATAGTCTTGTCATCAGAATAAAGAATCTGTAAATGATGTCAAAGCAAGGAATTATACATGTTATTAATTTTGGGAGGTACCACTATAATTGTAAATCTATAAAATTAGGCTTAATATAGCTTACCTGAAGGAGGTCGTGGACCAATCCTTCTACATTAGTTCTATTCTTCTGTAAGAAGGAAGCAGGGGAAGATCTAAACTCATACCACAGAGGATCCATAAAAAGGAGTGACTATTAATTCCGGACATTATCCGTCTACTTTCAAAAATCCACGTGTGAACACGTGGCCGCGAGTCGGAGTTTAACGCACTCACGTGAGCTGTGTGCTGAGCTGAGCTGCCCTGATGGCTGGACTTTATGCTGATTGCTAAGTGCTAACAAACCCCGTCTAGACTATTACTACAATGAAACTATCTATAAAACCTTTTGTCCGAGATGGCGTACACCTATCGGAGTTTTCTGTTGAAGTTGAGGCTAGTGATACCATTGAAGGTGTGAGGAAGAAAATATACAAAGAAAAGGAATACAATCCGAGATACTATCCATCTCAACTGTCACTTTTTAAAATTTATGATGGTAAGTTTAAAACATTGAAAGATGGCCATACACTTTCGTATTATGGCATTCAAAAGGAAGGGACAATCATACATCTAGTACTTCCTCTTCATAGATCTAGCATGATAATATTTTTAAAAACTCTGACTGGTAAAACCATTACTCTTGAAGTTGAACGCACTGATAGTATTGAGAATGTTAAGATAAAGATACAGGAGAAAGAAGGAATTCCACCTAATCAACAGAGACTTGTATTTGATGGTAGACAATTGGAAGATGGTCCTACACTCTCAGATTATAGGATTCAAAAGGAAAGTACATTACTTTTATTACTTTGTGTTCAAGGTGGTATGCAAATATTTGTCAAACAAACTCTGACTAATAAGATATTTACTCTTGAAGTTGAACCTTCTGATACTATTAAGACTGTTAAAGCAAAGATACAGAAGGAATTAGGAGACCCACCTGACTACCAGGAACTCAAGCTTGATGATAAACAATTGGAAGATGGTCATACACTCTCGGATTATAAGGTTCAAAAGGAAAGTATGTTAGAATTATCACCTCTTCTAGAAGTTAGCATGAAAATATTTGTAAAAGCGTTTACTTTTAAAACTATTACTCTTGAAGTCAACCGTAGCGATACAATTGAGAATGTTAAAGCAAAGATACTGCATGAAAAAGGAATCCAGCCAGATCAGCAAAAACTAATATTTAATGGTAAACGATTAGAAGATGGTTGTAAACTCTCAAATTATTTTATTCAAAATGAAGCTACACTTAATCTTTTGCTACCAGAAGATATAAGCATTAACATCAAAGTAGTTAATGGTCAGGTCTTAACCTCTGTTTATATTAGTCCTGATTTGAATATCGAGAGTCTTAAAACCATCATTGAGACTAAAACTAGCATTCCTTGTAGTGAACAAAATTTAATACTAGCTGGTAAGCAATTATCATTTGGAAGAACTTTCTCATACTACAATATTACAGAAGGAGATACACTGCACCTTGTACAACGTCATGCTGATTGTACAATATTTGTTAAAACAGAAACGGGTCAAATGATTGCTCTTAAAGTTGATCCTAATGATACAATTGAGAATGTGAAATCGCAAATACGAGATAAAGAAAGTATTGAACTTGATCAACAGAAACTGTTCACTCGCTATTGTAATCAATTAGATAATTCCCTGACACTATTACATTACAACATTGGACATAATGCTACTCTATATCTTTCCCATTACCCTAGAGGTGGTGCAAATATTTATATCAGAACTTTTACTGGTAAGATGATAGTTATTGAAGTCTTACCTACCGATACTATTAGCAATTTGAAGAAAATGATAAGAGATAAAGAAAAAATATCACCTGATAATCAAACCTTGTTCTATGCTGGTCGACAACTGGATGATGCCTCAACTTTAGCAAACTATGACATTCCAATGGAAAGTATTTTGCAACTTGTAACTAGTTTTAATCCTACTATGAAGGTATCTGTTAAACTTTTAAGTGGGGAAAAAATGGAGTTAAATGTTAATTTTTCTGATACAATTAGTGACATAAAAGCTAAGATTGAAGAAATTCAAGGTATACCATGCAATCGACAGAAAATAATGTTTGCTAAGAAGCGACTTGAAGATGATTACGTTGAAAAAGTACTTTCCCCTAATAAGATTAAAACGCTCATTGATCATAATATTACTGATGGAAGCACAATGCATTTGATATTCTTAAGAGGTGGCATGACAATATTCATAAAACTTCCAAGTGGTAGAACAATTTCTTTTGAAGTTGATCCTTCTGATACCATCAAGACAATTAAGTATAAGATTCAGGATAAAGAAAAACTCTCACCTAATCAACAGAGACTCATATTTGCTTTTAAAAGATTGGAAGACCATTATACACTCTCAGATTATAACATTCAAAAGGAAGATACAATGCATCTACTTGATTCATCTTTACCTATGCAGATATTTGTAAAAGCTATTATTGGTGAAACATTTGCTTTACAAGTTGATTCTTGTTGTACTATTGAGACTGTTAAATATATGATTCTGTATGAAAAAGGAATCCCACCTTATTTGCAAAAACTTCTATTTGCTAGTAAACGATTGGAAGATTGTCATACACTCTCATATTATAATATAAAAAATCAGAATACATTAGATTTACAATTTATTCCTGTTGGACCACAAAGCCAAATCAAAGGTATAACAACTTATGATTATTGACAAATTTAACAATATTATTATTATTATTATTATTATTATTATTATTATTATCAATATTATCATTATCATCATTATTATTTATTATTACATGCATGTATTAGATATTGAGCCAGAACCATTGAGTCACTACAAATTACTTGCCTTTTATGAACACACTCCAGCCACAAGAATTTGGAGCGTACACTTTGTTGTTACAGAGAACAAAGTCTATCACATTGAAGTATGTAAACTTACTACATCAGTTAGCCTACTTTTGTGCTAATCATGTGTACTCATTATTTTGTATTCATAGAAAGTAGTATCTGAGATGAATACAAGATCATGCAATAGAGGGGACCCAGAAATTGTGTTCTCATTTGATGATAAAAAAGAAATTGTTTTTGATATTAAGACATGCATTATTAATGGGTAGAAACTTTTACCGTTCCAAACACCTTGCAAAGTAAACAAGCATAACATTACTGCTTTGTTTATTTATTGCTGTTTAGGTACATAAAGCTGATGTTGATTACTCTTCTGATGTTGGAGGTATTAGTAAAATAACTTTGCGTGTTGAAGGTCCACCTGATTCTGATAGTTTTACTCATTGCATTTCTATTACTGGTACAAGGGATCCATTATTATCTATTGCAATTAGTAAGTTTATATCTTCATCTAATATAAATATCTCTCTAGCTTGTTCAGATACTTCATTGCTGTCTCCTATAAATCTAGTAAAGGAAGGTGATGGTAAGCTAATTGTTGTAACACAATGCATCTTTTAACTGATTGCTATAACAGAACCTCCTCCAAATGTTGATCCCAGGCTTAGTGAACTATTGGAAGAAGTTGCTGTTAAAGCTCCCAAGGATTGGAAAAAAATTGGCACAATGCTAGACATTGATCAACACGTGT